TCGGTCATTCACAGTAACATGCACATCATTTACATAATAACCTCATCAGGACGTTTATTTCATACTTTGCCTAAATAACATCCAGCATTATATATAATACTTAGGCAATGTGTGAAATATAAATCATTTCATACTTTGCCGGCTAGTTGTTGCCGGCTAGTTGTATAATGCCGGATATCATATTTTGTCGGTAACAGATATAAAAATTGATTTTAAAAAAAAACATAAGTACAACACTTCAAAAAAATTACTACGAAAAATACCACATCCCTAGTTTTTAGTCCAACAATACTTGCCATACATACTATTGAATATACTACGTATGGCAACCCTGGTGAAAGTAAATTCCGACGCATGCGCAGTAAATTCTACTTTCCCCACCTTTGAAATAAATGGAATGATTCAGTCTCAATCAGATTTACTGTGAGATTCAGGGGCTAGTGATTTTGAACAATAAAATTTCATTTAAATCTTCTTCTTCTTTATTCACCTTAGCTGGGCACCTGGACCGCGCAGCGGCCCCTATCCCATCCATCATGATTTTATGAGTAGGTGTAGTAAAAACTTTTTGTGTTCAGCAGACTGCGGGGTGAATATTTTCGTTTAAGTCAAAGATGTCAATTTGTGGTGCTATCACGGGAATGTTTTTTCTAATGGTAGCCAAATGGGCGCGAAATAACTTTTTAGTTTTAAAAATTTATACCCGTCAAAACTTAATAATTATTTTGCAGAAGTCGGAACAACTGGGCATCCATTTTTGGTGATAGAATAAATCAAATTAATGTGATAATTCACTGATTAGATATTTAAGTATTCCGTTTTTCTTTTTACGCTTTATACAAGAATTTTAAAGAACTAAAAATGCACAAAAGGAAGGAAAAATCGGAAGTAAATTATTAGTTGCCAAACTCGAATGTTTAACCATTCCCCAATTTTTAAATGTACTGTTAAATTTCACAAAGTAAAAGTTCTTATTTTGCTAGTTCTTTTCTATATGATGCATGAATGTATAAGACAAAAAAAAGACAATCAATAATTGTTAATGAACTGGAAGATTTAGTAATATTCATAATATATTTAAAACAGAAAAAACTTTAATGGCCGTTGTGAAATAATTTTTATAGTGATAGCAACATTAGCGTTTTGGCGTATTAAATCTTAAAGTTTAAAGTTTCAAAAAATAAGGAAATAAATAAAAAAATAAATAAATAAACTTCCACAACAAATCAATAGTTAGAAAAACATGTACCTAACATCGATTTGTTGGCTAATTATGCTAATAGATATTCGAATAGAATTTGTTTTTTGAAAATTCTTCCAAAATTTATTGTTGCTTTACTTCCACTTTGAAAAATCTTTTTCAACGACTGTACAAGTTGGCAGGTGTGTATATTAACAAGCATATTAACAATTGTTTAGTTCTTCTATTAATTTGATTTTATAAAGGAATTTTAAGCAATCTATTTATCCCTCAAAATTTATGTTTTCCAATTGCAAAAACACATTTTTGGTATAATTGTCTTTTCTTCCTCAATCAGTATTACAGGGGAATTACGAAAGCAAATAAAAAAACTGTACAGGAAATTCAATGGAATAAAATTAAACCTTTCATATTTTTTGTTAATTCTCTCGACATTTTAAATTTTGGGAGTTGAAGCATGTAAGTAAAGGTTTTTTATTTAAGTCGCTATAGAGTTGCACAATGGGCTATTGGCTATGGTCTGGGAAGCAGTCCTAACTTGTGATGTCCACTTCCTCAATTTAGACATAGAAGTAAAAAGGAAGGAAATTTTCTCCAGATCCCTGGACTGCTCAGAAACCGACCACGATACTTTCGATTCCACAGATTTGTACGAACATGTATTGTATATTTTATGTTATAACTGTTCTTGAACAGCCGACCCAATTTTTTTGGGTTTACTACTACTAATGTTCAACTATGTAGCCTTGTAATTTTCAACTCAATCCAGAAGACAAGGGAACTACTGGATCAAGTATTGAGAGAAATTTACCTTCGTGGAGGGTTTTTTGATGGAACTAACCCGCATTTGCGTTACATCCAGAGAAAAAACCAAGAAAACCTCTTAGGGTTAACCTAACGGCAAGGGGAATCCAAGCCATGATCCGTCTACCACTGTTAATATTTCAGGTCAGCACTGTGGTCGGTGCAAGCCGGATGCGGTATTCGTATCGACCGGCCATCGCTGGGATTCGAACCCGGTTCACCACATTGAATGGTTCACCCGGTTCACCACGCTCCATTCCCTGAGCCATCGCAGCTCATGTATTGTATATTGTATGTACTCGGCGGATCTTAAAGGAGTCAAGGATAGAACCCCGGCCTCTTCGGAGTGCGATTCATTAGCCACTGGACTACCACGGCCCACGAGGGAGTAGAGACAAAGTAGTGTTTGATATGATCATTTGAAAGCGTAGAATGTTAGCAGCTTTGTAAGAAGGTTTAAAAACAAAAATCTTACCTGTGTTTTTCTTCTCCTTAATGAGCACAGGTTAAAGTGTTTAAAATCAACTTATTTCAATCCACTGATTATAGTTGTAACCAGATTTTATTTTTATGTATATTTTTTTTTTTTTTTACGAAAAGCTGTGTTAAGTTTTTTGTGAGAAGAGCCGTAAGTGTGGGAAATCATGTTGAAACTATAAAACATCTTTTTCATTCATTCTTTTCTGAAAGTTCATGCATTCAAAACTAAATTTATGGGTGATGTTGGGCCTGTTCGACCTTGGCAGGCGGTGAAACAATCCGTATACACTTAGCTCCGCAAACTTTTCCTGAAGCTTTTGTCACGAGCGTCACACATAGTTAAATTGCGTGATTGTGACGTAGGAATGTTTTGCATATTAAGTCCCACTGAGAAACTGCAGCTTCACTGATATTTCATAATCATAAGATAATTATTTTTTTGAAGAAAAATATGAGCATAGTTACTTCAAATTAAATTAATTTTTGAAAAATAAATAAATAAATACGAAAAGAAGTCTGACTCAGATCAACAAATACGAATAACATTACATAAATCGATTGCAGTTAATATATTTTAATAAATTATTAAACTACTGTGTTGCAATGTTGCTTTTAAGTACACAAGTTATTGTTCTACTGCTTCAAAATCTTAAAAAAAAAATTATTTTAATTCAAATGTTTTTAGATATAATAAAAATAACACAAAGTGCTTTGTAGAATTTATTTAAATGTCAGAATCTATTAACCCTTTAATGGGCCTTTATTTCTAGTAAAGGTAAATTAAAGTAATTTTTGAATTGAAATTGTTTTAAGAACAGTAATTGATATGAAAAAAAAACTCATTTAGTTTATAAAAATGCCATTTTTTTGGTGGTAAATATATTTAGCATGACCTATTAGGAACTTACTGACTTTTATTTTTCTTTATTTATAAAATAAATTCCTTAAATGCTACAAACTTCCAAAGGAATTATGTATTTTATAACTTTTATGCGTTTTTTAAAAGTGACAAATGGTTACCAATTTTATTTAAACTCACTTCAAGAAAACTGAAGTTATTGAAAAATGGAAACCTAAATTAAAAGTGGTAAAACGTGGTGGTAAGTATACTTACCACGGCCTTCAAAAGGGTTAAAAGTTGGATATTAAGTCTGTCACAAGTCTATTTAAATATCTGATATTTTTACGACAAATTGGTATTGTTTCCAAATAATTGAATCAATGAATTCGAAAACAAGTCATCTCTAACAAAACTAATTTTGCAAGAGAGACTGAAAATTGAATAGTTAAGTATTAATTCGATACATAGAGCGTTTTTTTTATTTTTAATATTAAAAACTGGCTGGTTTTCAAAATATTCTACTGGGATTATGTGATAACCTCGCTTAATTTCTCAATTTAAAAATAATTAGAACTTGGAGATGGTTGGTTTTCAGACAAAATCTTAAACTGAATACTATACCTAATTTTTAACAAGTGAAATTATTCATAATATGTCATTTCGAAATGAAATAAAGACTTTATTTAATATTAAAAGAGCCTTTAGGGGTCATTTTAATAATATTTTGCAATCTCCTCTTCTTTTTTCTTTTTTTCTTCTTTTTTTTTGAAGATACCGATTGAGATTTGAAGCTTAAGCATCCTGACTTTTTAAAAATTGTTTCTAGATATACTGTATCAAAATTTCACTCGTTCATGTTCATCAAAAAACGTTGAATGCCACGCTAATTTTACATGGCTTGCCGGCCAAACGGTAAATAACTACAAACTTAATTTGCAAATATTAGACAGATTTCGCTAGTTTTTTAAGAGGTTTAGTATGACATAACAAGAAAAAAGTGGGGACAGTGGTTGACAAAATATGCCACTAGGAACAAGCGTTGTTCTGAAGTTACTTAGCGTTGTTTCAATAACTGAGATGGAAAAATATTAGTTTTGATAATTTTTTCTCTTCTAATAGTATATATGAAATTTTGAAAGAGAAGAGTTTATTTGCATCTAGCACAGCCATCACCTCCTACATCAAAAAGCCTCCACCCGGTCTTTTATAAGTAGTCCGCGCAGACTATTTAAAAAGTGAACCAGTTGTGCGCATGAACTCAAAACTTTTTATAAAATTAATTGACAGAAATTTATCATATATGTTTGAGAATTGAATCTGTAGTGGTTGACAAGTGAATAAGGCAAACCAATAATATTCATAAATAATAAAAAAATTTGGGTCATATTTGCTACCACTTTCTTATTTTAACAAGATTTTGTATTAAATGACTCGTTCAGAAAGTGGATATTCTTCATAGTGGTCTGATCGGACTACCTAAAAAAACCGTGTGGATGCTTTCAGTTATAGGAGGTGGTTGTATATTGGATGACTACACAAATATAAAAAAATAGAAAACATCGTGGTTCCTACTACGAGTATATTACAATCAGCAAGGATACAGAAAGATGTGCAATAAAATGGAACGACAATGCTGCGGTAACAATTGTTACTAATAACGGTACCATTTTGAACCTTGTAAATGCCAAACGATACTGTCGCAAAGAAAGTAAAGAAGTTTTTGTTAAACTTTTTTTATTATATATATAACCGTTGTTGAACAGCCGACCCAATTTTAGGGTTTAAGACTTCTAATGTTCGACTCCGTAGCCTTGTAATTTTGAATCCAAAACAGAAGACAAGGGAATTCCTGGATCAAGTATTGGGAGAAATTTGCCTTCGTGGAGGACTTTTTGATGGAACTAACCAGCATTTGGGTTACACGGAGAGGAAAACCGCGAGAACCTCCCACGGTTGGCCTGATTGCAAAAGGACTCTAACCATAGCCACCAAGAGTTAAGGCCTCTCAGTATATTTGTGACGTCATCCTCTGAAGAGTTAGCGAAGCATAAGATAACGCGGTATTCAGATTTGTATTAAGAGAAAACTATAATAAATAGTTCAAACTTTTGAGCGACACAATACACTTTTGCTTTAGCTAATTTAATAGCACTTAAAATTTTTCTAAGACGTGAATTTATAGCTTTTTAATTAAGTAAATCAATGTTATTTATAAAGTTGCAACTCAATAAAATGAACATGTAGGACTGCTTGATGCTTTTCAATAGAAATGAAATTTGATAAGAATTTTTTTACTTTTGATTTTTAAATCTTGATTCATCATAACTATTTTTAATATCAAAAGAATAAACCTTATTTAAGAGTAAAATTTATTATTTTCTAATATGTGATTAAATGTTAGATTTAATCATATATTTGAAAATAAGAAATGACGCATTTTAATAAGGAAACGAATACGAGACAAATAAAAATATGTTATATCATGGAAAAAAGGGACAAATAAAGAAATGATATTTTTATTGGCAGATTCATGAAATTTTTATTTTAAAATACGTTGTAAAGAATTCTTTCAGAATCCTATGATATACATTCAAATTCCAAGTGGAAATAATATAAACATAAATACTGCAATTATTTACAAATAAATGACGCATATAATATTCAAATAATACTAATAGAATACAAAATAATTTAGCTAAGTAATAATTATAAAGTAATAATAATAAAAAAAAATTATAAGTAATTTAGCAAAGTATTTCGATCATTAAGATTGCAAAACTTTAAAATAGTATTTATTATTTTCAAAAATAAATATATATTTTTTTAGTATAAAAAAGTAAAGCATTTTCAAATCTTAAATTTTTCTAACAAATAATAAATTCATAGATGACAATCTTTCTTATAAGATTAGTTCTTATAAGACAAGTTTCTTATAAGACAAGTTACCCATTCAAACAAAGGTTGCCCATCATCGGAAGCTCTACTAACAGAAGTACGGACTGATAGAATCGGACATACAATAAATGGTCATTGGAAAAAAAAGCGAACAGATGATGTAAAGTGTGTAAAAAAAACACGATTACTTTAAGCATCAAATGTAAAGTCCATTTGCATTCAAAATGCTTCGAATGTTTCCATTAAAATATAAGCGTTGAACAAAACGAATTGTTCATTGATCTGGCCAATGGTGCGTATGCGCACCATTTTATTTCTTAGATAAAATATTGCTTTTCATGCACGAAACTTATTTTTTGTCTTAATGAATTAATTTAAACATATTTTAGTGAAAATAATACCACATTTTATAAAATTTCTATCCTTGACCTAAAATGGGTTAACTATGTACGTCAGTTTAATTTAAAAATGGAAGAATCTCAATTTTGAAATAAAGTGACGATTATTAGTTTTAAAACTCAACAATTCAATTACTGTGAAAATTTACAAAAATTCCACTGGAGCTACTTTTTTGGGTCTTTTTGGAAAATTTCAATTTTATAAATAAAGTAATATTAAAATTCAAGCTTTATATTTCATTTTTGGATTTATAAATTTAACTTAGAATGATTTTCTTTAAAACCACAACATATGTAAAACAAACATAAGTACAAATGCATAATAATTGTATGACAGTTTGTTTAACCCTTTGATGCAAAATTTTCATTAAACATATTTTTCATTAAATTGTATTAATTTAGTCAAAATTTGTGAAAAATATTATAATTAGAATTTTGATAATTTATGGTTGTGAAATATAGTATAAAACACCCGTGTAATTATCTGCGTTGAAGGTTACATTTTTCAATTTCGGCTCAATTACGAAATTTTTTTTTCTAAAGTTGCAATTATTTACTGTTATCTAGATCTAATAGAAACAGTTATTTATCATTGAGATTGAGTGTGAAATATTTTACAATACATGAGTGTGAAATATTTTTTTTCAAACCACTTTTTTTATTTGGATTATTATATTGATTAGATTTTATATTTTAGAACAAATATAAGGGGTCTCCCTGGCTAAACGGTATCTCCCGCCAAACGCTGTGCAAAGCGCGAGGTAGCGGGTTCGAATCCCGCCGTAACCCTGGATGTATTCTTCGTGATGTTCTTCTCTTAATTCTTCTATCAGTCTTTCTACTCGACAAAGGTTTATAAGGCTAAATTGAGCACACAAGCCTGCAAATGTATGTAATTTCAATAAAGCAATAAACAAACATAATCAACCCGACAAGAGTGGTAATTACCAGGACCACCGTGTTCCTACTTTAACAGAGGTGCACGATATAACATAATTTAATAAATCACACAAATATATATTGATTCGCTCATTTGAACGATAATTTATTGTTTTATAAATATTTTAGTATTTATTTAGTTTTTATAAACATTTTACTTTCTTAATTTTATTATTTTAGTAAATAATTTTTCTTGCATTCTTATTCATATTTTTGTAAATAATTATATTTGTACTTTCGTGCTTTAATTCAGTATTTACT